TGATTTAAGAAAGCAGGGAAAGAGAAAAACCTTTCTGCATGTTGATACGGGATCATCAGAGTAAAATGGAGGATATCCAACTAGCATTTCATACATTATAGCACCAAGAGACCACCTGCAGCAAGTTAGGACTTGTCAACAAGAAGAAAAATATTTCATTCAAAAGAACGTTGTTCTCTTTAAGCAAAATATATATTTGCATTGCATGGGACAAACCCTTAAACATTTTTTTTTCAGGTAAAAAGAACTACAAAGATTAATAATCTAAGATTCAAACCAGTAATCATTCTTATGAATAATAAAATAGATTACAGAAAAGCTAATAGTCTTCTCTTGGAGAACAGCAGAAAATAGAGACAAAATCATTCTAATTCTTGGCCTAGGATAATAACTATGAAAATGAAAAGGAAGCATTGATCAATAAATTTGGCCACTCATGCTATTTAATGTTTATTCAAAGCAAGTGAACCGAGTCTTGAACAAACTTTTCTTACTAACTGTTGACAGCTAAATGAACTTAAATTTAAATTTTAGATAATTAAAATCAAAATCAGATTAAGCTGATTTTATTTTATTCACCTTTATTATAGGAGATTTAGTTAAGATCCAGATTAGATTATCCATATCTGATTTGATTCTCCTTTATTTTCTTCCTATCTTATCTTCATATTTATTTTGTAATCTGGGTGGTTAAGATCAATGTACAAAAATGAATTTCTTCTCTAAAACTACAACCAGACATGTAAGAACAACCAAACAATCAAAATCTTATTTTTGGTTTTTCTTTCAGCATCATGGTAGAAAATCTTTATCCTCTGCTAACTGTCATTGTTCTAACTATCCAAATATTTCTTCCTTCTTTCCATTAAACAAAGTTTAGTTCATACTGAGAATCACAAACTGGCAAAACATTCATATTGTGAAATAACAAGTCAGCCAACTTCACATGCAATTACAGAACTTGAAATTGAATATTAAAAGACTAGAAGGATTTGAAAGTATCATGCCTTTTATATAAGATTTAGACAATCAACTGCAGAAGTGCTACCATAACTGGATTTATATGCCAATATAAAGCTTCCTTTGAATGCATATGAACAGTTCATTAGATCTATTAGAAATGAATAAGGCCTAACTCAACCTCCAAAGCTAATTCAAGGGAGGAGGATTGCCCTAGACATATAAGGATAACTTTGGCCATATTCCTAGCTGATTTTGGATGCTTCAAACATTCTATGGCATGTTGGCCATCATTTTGGCCATATTCCTATCCAATTTTTCGAATCATTCAAAATGGGTAACTCCAAGTTCAAATTTACAATGCTTCAAACATTCTTTAAGAAAGATGACAAAATGATTCCTGTTCATGATCCCTACCGATTGGAATGTGCACATAAAATCCAAAATGTCATGACAAATTCTTAAAACTGGAAAGGAAAAGTTCTTTCTGAAGTATTTTAACTTTAAATGAGAATAGAAAAAACTGGCTACATAACAATTTATGATCTTAAATTTTTTCCATACATCATATGGAGCTTCATTGATTGCACTCTGGATTAACTTTTTTCCTGTTTATCATGCTACTTAACAAAAAGGTATAGCACATGACAGATAGACTTCATTCCAGAACAAGCAACTCAAGGGTGCTTAATGTTTGGATAAAGAACTTATATCCTTGAGCTTTTCATCTACTCTTAATCACTAAAAAAAGGGTAATGCAAAGTAATCGACTGCATTTACTTTGAAATGACAAAACTTTTAACACAGAAAATGGATACATGCAACTAAAACAACAGAAAATGAAAGTGTGTGTGTGTGTATATATATATATATATATATATATATATAC